GCCATCTTGGCCTCGCGTGACATCTAACTGCCTTCACGTTGACGAGAAGGACAGCAGCTGCGGTTGGATTTCAAATGCGTGGCGTCAAGTATAGGAATGCTCATTGTCTTAATACGCAAACAGTCAGTCCTTTGTAGCTCACTGATTGGGCCGTTTGATTGACATACCGATCATGTCACTTGGGAACTCTATGCCTGTCTGAGAAGGCTTGTCTGCACGGTGAGCTCCTTGCAGTGCCACGCCTTCATGAACGTTCCTGAGTGTAGGAGCCGTAGTCTTTAGCAGCCGCTGCTTCTACTGGTGCTCGACGAGGACGGCGACGAGCACACGGCACTGGAGATTGCATCCGCGACCGCAGACGAGACTGTGATGACCGTGCTAGTATCGCACGTCTTCAAAATGCATCTCAGTGCCGCTACAGAAGAGAGCGACGAACACTACAGAGATATTAAACCCCCACCCTACTTCGCGGCTATGCACTCGGTCTTCATTTGCAGACTCCTCGCTCATGCTGACCATGAAGGGCGAACGGCACTGCATATCGCGGCGTCTGAGGGCCGCTTCCACGCCTACCGCTTCTTCGCCATAAACCCATGCGCTCTCCCGGCACCGCGACTCTCTAGCTCGGGCGAGTCACCCGCCGACTACTTGTCGACATCTACCGGGACAGGTCATCACGGTCCACTTTAACATCATTAGTGACAATGAAATTATCATTAGATTCTTCGGCTACGGCTGAGCATGGTGGAGGCTTCACATCGCTGTCAACTGGTGGTATTGTTGGCATTGCTCTAGGGCTGTTTGCTTTGGCCTTATATATGTTGGCCTAGGTCTATTCCTCTTTAGACGGCATCGGGAAGCAGAAACAACCAACGGGAAGCTATACGCAACCAAGTCCGCCTTATCCACAGCTATAAACAAGCCCAGATTATTGGAAAAGTCCTGATTATAACGGGAGACCTCAGGAAATGGCATCTACAGGGTGGAATGGCGTTAATCATGGGCATAACCGCTGGACCGCTTGTCCAAGCGAGCTTGACCAACGAAACTACTCAGCGCCGCCTCGAACAGAATTAGACGGGGTTGGTCATCGAGGGGCCGAACTTGGAGACCAGAACTATCGCTAGAGATTGCAGATTTTGTGGGCCGGGCATTAGGAGCCCTGACCTGAGATCTCATCTGACAAAGTATAACTGCTATGCGCGTACTACAGTAATTGGTAGTACTCCTCCATGTGTAGAATCAAGTGAGTGTTCTCGGTTAGGTCCTCGACTGCCTCAAGCAGAACCGGTTAGGGTCCCGCTCGAGGATATCCGGCAAACGCTGGAGATTTAGACCGCCAACAGGGCCGGTTCGAGTCCCACTTGATGAGATACGCCGTACTATACACGACCTGGTCCACGATCACTCCCAAGTTCGCTAAGTCGAGACGCAGCCTCTTGTGCCATGTCCAGATTTCATCTTACTAGTGACTTCGGCCCTTCAACGCCGTACGTTCTGATAAATCTCTACTCATCCTACATTCATCATTATCCAACGGAAAGAGAATTTTCCTAATATTCCGACAGAGCGGCCTGACAATACTGAATGTGAGAAACACGGGCAGGGTTTGGCCTGCCCATAGATGCCCTATAGAAAATACCAATACCACAGGATTCTTCAAACTGATGTGACAGCTACTGCTTTGTTGCAAGCGAGTGAACTCTAGGTACGGTGAATGGAGTGTTAGCGGAGACAGTTATATCTCTCCCTGGGACGCTGAACTAATGGATGCTTCCGTCAATCGCTGCTGGACCGCATCTCGCACCTGTCGACTTGACTTATTTTGATACGGTCGTCTGTATAGCACCTGTTCGTGTGGGATCGGCTTCCAGACTATGAATGGATCCGCTCCGCCAAAGTCAACTTCTACCAGGCGGCGGAAGCGTCTTTGCTCGTCGAAACAACCATTTACCTGTCTTTTGGAGTCTCTTGCATAACCTATTCGAATATTTTGGTTTCTTATCGACGCTGGTACCGTCTTGCAGCCCGGGCCCTTGCCCGTCACCTGGCTAGATTTGGTTCGTCGGTCAGGACCGCTGCGTCTATTTTTGGGGTTGTGGATTCCGCCATCGGCTGTGTTGGAGTCTGGTGTTGAATTCTTATCGCTCTCGTGGTCTGGTCGTCGCGGAAACGTCCCGAGGTAGACAACGTCGGCTTCGGACTCTTTTACAGCGCATGGTTCCTTTGATGAATATGTCGGGGCCCCAGAGCAGATTTCGGGGGGGTAGAACGTCGGTGACGGTGGTCCGCTTCGAGGACTTGACGTAAGAGTCATAGCCTATTCCGGTATGATTCAAGCCGACGGCTGCCAGTACGTGTTGCAGTGTTCCCGGCGATCACAGCAATAAAAATTGGGAATCTAGATGATAGTGGAGTAGTTCATCACGTGATAATCCAAAGACCAATGAACTCACCGGACCGTGCTGACAGATTTGCAATGAGAGGTATAATGAGGTTTGTAAGCGGTACCATGCCCGCCGCCCGGAGGCTGGCCAACCCGATCTCGTGTCCCCAGCGGGCCAGTCAGAAACCGGCACAACACGTGGATTACCTAAGGCAACGCTAATGACCGCTGGCACAAGGAAGCTACAGCAGCGCGGGACTCGGATGCGGCTGTCCTGACACAGCACGCCCGACTCTGCTGTCGGCCAGTCCCTTTCTTCGCCTGCACAAATGCTGCAGGCACTCTCGACTGCATGGCCAACCGTGCGTCCCCTGGGGACGACGGCCCACGAAATCGTCCACAGTCCAAGCAGCGTGTCCGAACAGGCTGCTGGCCGTGCCGGCGACGTCATCGAAAATGTGAGTGGCCGGCTTGTTCTGGGAGTTGTTGCAATATCTAACTATCTGGGTGTGTAGGCGATGAGCGTAGGCCTACCTGCGACAACTGTCTGTCCAAAGGATCAACTTGCCAATACCCTGCGACCTTCATCTTCGCCTCCGTCCAGCAAGCGCCTGTTGTGGAAACCAACGATAACTCGGCGGCTTCGGTGCCCCCACAGCGTGAATTCAGGGTTAGTGTTACGTGATGAATCCGTGGTGGCTCAGAGTACGTGACAAGAAGCTGACCAAGACGAGCTGAAGTTTGTAAATGATGGCTCGTTTGATCATCTTCAAGCTTCGAGTCCCGAAACCTCCCCAATCGCCTGGCAGCCCCAACAGACGGGCATTCAGCCGCATGGACCTGTTGAGCCGAGCAACATCTTCGTCTTCGACGATGGCACATTTGATCAAGGGGAGAGCCTCCCGATGGACACCTGCCAAACAGGCACTGCTGGTAGCCTGGATCTTCCACCGAGACGTACTAGCTGCTCATCGCCCGCACGAGTGTCGCCATCCGTCGGATCTCGTCCCGGATCCAACGCGTTGTTCCCAGCTGCCCCGGGTGATCCAGGTTCCTCTATGACGGATCGAGCCGTCAGCTCAGAGATTTCTCTACTGCGCTACTATCGCTATCAGGTCTCCCCTCTGTTAGATGTCGGCGACCCATGGTGCTCATTCAGCGTCAAAGTCCCGATGTTGGCTGGTTCCGAGGCGTCCCTCCGGCACGCTATCCTTGCGCTTGCTGCCCGGCATCGCGCATTGCGGACACAGAGCAGCACGATCGGGCACGTGGAAGACATGATCTGCCCCCAACAGGAGATAGATCAGATTCTTTTGCCAAAGGAAAACCCCCTTTGGCATGTCCGGCAAAGCCTTCTCCTATTCAGGGACTTTTCATGCTTGAGACCTCACCAGTGGAGGGACTTTGTCACGCAGCGCCTGTCATTTCAGGAAATAGTGAGCTTCATGCCTACGCAACAGGATCTGACGAATTCCGCCTTTTGATTACTTGTCAAGATGAGTAAATACTGCAGATGTAACACCTCTCTAGTGACAGTGCTGATTCAAATAACCAACCTCCAGACATTGCAGCCTCCCTCATGTCCCGGACACCGCTCAGCATCACCGTGCCGTTGGCGAGCCTCCTGAGCATACCCCGTGAGGGCGATCGCCGTTATCTTTTGAGATACGTGTACCTTTCCTCCGTGATCCTTCTCGCCAAAGTTCTAGACTTGATCTACACGCAGCCTGGGAAGCCGCGGAGCGAGCATTCTCAAGCATTCACGGATTCTGTCTTCCAAGAGTATCCTTTGCCTAGTGAGAGTTGGACAAGTTTGTGGCACCAATGTCAAGACTGGTATCGCGATCGACCCGTGGAAATGCAGCCGACAATGTCTGTAAATATCCTGGAAGCTACGCGCATCAGCCGCAACGAGAGCTGTCATCTTCCTATCCTTATCTTCTCTTTGCCCTTGGCGGTGGTAGCAAACGTCGCCTACCATACGGCTTGCTTCTTTCTCACGATTCGCAAGCCGCGGCTGTGCCGAGTCGCCGACGACGGAAGCCAGGTAGCTTCCTCTACCAGGCATATCCAATGCATTGCTGGTATCGCGACTAGCAATGATTATCCAGGCCAATGGGAGCCTATTTTCATCGCGGCGTTGTTCAGGAGTGCACGAAAGCTGACACACGAATCGCAACACGAGGCGGTTCTCCAGGTTTTCCAGAAAGTGACGGCGGCCACGGGAATTCGCTTGGAAAAGGAGACGCAGGAGCTGCGGGATATACAACGAGCTTCGCAAAAAAAAGAGTAACAGACAGCTGTATTAATACCTAAGAAGGACTTTATGAGAGTCAATTGAATTGGACCAGCGACTATTTCAAAATGTTAAGAAAGCTAGAATGTAGGCTGCATGCTCAAATAAAAGGGCTTGAGAGTCCAACAGGAGTAAGGGCAAGGAATACACTCCATTGTGCTGCAAGATGATCAGCAGATGGGAAGCAGAAATCCCGTACTGAGGTAATCCGAGCCTTATCCACCTCTGCCAATACGGTATTGAAGGCTCTTTGTTCCGTGACTGTTATGGCTCGCATCGAATTCCAGCCTCGGAAGATGGACTCGTGGGCCTTGTGTTTCTCTTCATCTTGGAGTATAATCCTCGTCTCCCAACTCTTCTCGAGCAGAAGGCAAGCTGCTACCTGTCACGGCCGCCCACGAAATGCATAGCCTGGTTCTGAAATTTGCCGCTTTGGTTATAGGGTTTCCGATGGGCCCGCTCACGACGACGAGGCTAGTGAAAGGAGTCAAGGTTTCGAGCGAATTTGGGGGCTCAAGCATGCTCGGAGGGGGTCCGGCAAGCAGATGGCTGGAAAGGGTTATTCAGCCTCCATCTACCGAGATGGTCCATCTACTGCCAAGCGTGCCACTGAAGATGGTCTCGACAGGGGTAGTTCGGAATATGTGGGCATGCATACAGGAGCTAGAGAAAGGTGGATGGATGGAAGCGTTTCTCTATCCTGATTCGGTAACTTAGCCTCACATTACCCTTCTCTGACATGGCTGGGCAATTTCTACCGCTGGAGCCCCCAAGGGCCGTAACAAACTAAGGGCCCTCGGGATGGCGCAGCTCTGCATGCCAAGGCCACGAGCAGGGGAATTTGACGTCGTTCAAGCGCCATTATTTCGTAGTCGTCGCCAGGTGCGCCTTTTCCTCACCTGTTGGTTGGCTTGAAGTTCTGGATGAGCCTTGATAGTCCCGTTCAGTTACTCCATGTGGTTCCCTAAGCGCAGAGACAGTTCACCGCCGCCCGACTCCACAGACCCCGGAAGAATCCACACCAAACAGGCCGAGACCGGCCGGCGGGGTAGTTCACCACGGGGGCGCAGCATTCGACCAAAACTCCATATTATGT